GGAAGTGGCGCTGTGGCTCAAGTGGTAGAGCACTAGCCTTGAGCTGAAGAGCTGAGGGATAGTGCCCAGGCCCAGAGTTCAAGCCCCATGACTGGACCCAAAAAAAAAAGAAAAGAAAAGAATGGGGGTGGGAGCCGGGCGCTGGTGGCTCAGGCCTGTAATCCTAGCTACTCAGGAGGCTGAGATCTGAGGATTGCAGCTCAAAGCCAGCCCGGGTAGGAAAGTCCTTGAGACTCTTATCTCCAATAAACCACTCAGAAAACCAGAAGTGACGCTGTGGCTCAAGTGGTAGAGTGCTTGCCTTGAGCTGAAGAGATAACTCCCAGGCCCAGAGTTCAAGCCCTAAGACCAACCAAAAAAAAAAAAAAATGGGGGTGGGGAGTGTTTCTCAAGTGATTAGCATGCTTGTCTGGCCAGTTGAGGACTTGTGTTTAATTAATCTCCACTAATACACCCCAACAATTAAGAGTGGACTAAAATAGTGTTTAAATTTTTACATGAAAAGAGAGGCTAAAATATGACATCAAGAATCAGAATTAATACCTGATTATTTGACACTGATAGTCTCAGTGGAGAAAGCTTTCTCTGTTTCATTTCTGGGCTTTTAATCTTGTTGGTTGTTCCTTCACAGTCCAAAGTAATATTCTGATTTTGTGTATCTTTTTCTTTTGAAATATCTTTCTCTTTTTTTCCTTTTTTTCTTCTTGTCTCATAACCGCTATTGATGTTTTCTGTGGCTTCTGAACTTCGTTTTAGAACAGGACACTCTGGATTTTCTTTGAGGCATGCACAGTCTACCTTGTATTTACTGGGGATTACAATCAGGTAAAAATTCAATATGTAAAATAAAACCAGGAAATTACTATCTTTTAAGATGCACACAATATTATATGTAATTTCTGATTAAACTAATCCTTAACTTTTTAATCTGCATTCCTGATAATTATCACAAAACAATAATTATTTTCTCATGAAAGCAATCTATTAGACTGACTTTTTACCACAGACTGGGCCATAGGTATACCATGTTAGAGAAAAAAAATTAAAACATTAAATCTGTTAAGGTAAAATGCTACTACTGTATCTTATACCAAATAAACTTAAGGTAAACAGTATAATTACTTCAAAGTGTAATTAACTTCCTGAATAAAATGCTAGATTTAGCTAGCTGGTGGCTCAAACCTGTAATCCTAGCTACTTAGGAGGCTGAGATCTGAGGATCAGTTTGAAGCTAGCCTGGGCAGGAAAGCCCATGAGCCTTTTATAATTAACAATCAAAAAGCCAGATTGGAGCTGTGGCTCAAGAGGTAGATTGTAAGAAGGAAAAAACAAAAAAAACAGGGACAGTGCCTAGCCCCAGAGTTCAAGCCTCAGAAAACACACACACACACACACACACACACATACTCTCTCTCTCTCTCTCTCTCTCTCTTTAACAAATACCAAACCCTAGTATTATGCTCTTAAAAGATTATTTTAATAAAGTTTTTTTTCTTTTTCTTTTTTATTCTTGAAGGTGATGTATAGAAGGTAAACAGGTTTCTCATCTTCCCACAATAATTAGTATTACTCAGATTCTACAGATGAGATGAAGTATGGGCCTGTATGACTCTAAAGGTTTGCTTTTAGGATTATAGAATATCAAATATTGATAACAACAATTTGTGTTTATTTAAGAAGTTATCCTTTGCCAGGAAAACTGACAGTTTACACTAAAATGTTAAAAGCATTCTTGTTCCATACTATTTGCATCCTTGAGATAATGAGGTAAAAAGGGATGAAAAAAAATACCAGTCTAAGGTTAAATAGCTAATAACAAAACTAGGATTTGAAACCAGATGAATTAGTCTGTGATCACAGCCAATCAGCAGGCTAAGCTAAGAGGATCAAAAGTTCAACTTCGGCCTTGGCCACACAACAAGAACCTGTCTTAAAAACAACATTTTTTGGTTTCTTTTGTAGTACGTTCTTCCCTTTATAGTATAACCCCTGTTGTCACTGTATTTAATGTTGTTGCTCTGCATCTTGTATAGACATTTTTCTAATTTGGGGAGGGAAAGTAAATAACAAAATGCTGAAACAAGGATACAGGAGGACCCATTGAAACAATGAGATGTACAAGACACTGTTGAAAAGGTGGGGGGTACTGGGTAAGGGAAAAAAAGGGAGGGGAGCAGTAATAACTTCTCTACAGTATCTTTACAAAAATATTAAAAAACAACAAAAAGATACATGTTAAACATAAAGCAGGTTACCCCAAAGGTTTACAAAGGAAAAATTTAAATGAGTATGATAAATCTGACTTATAATAATTAAGGTGGAAAGGAATTTCACATTGAGAAAAAATAATTTGAAAAACCCTAAAACTACAGTTAAAAATTATATCAGACAGGCTGGGAAGGTGGCTCAGTGGTAGAGTGCTTGCCTTGCATGTATGAGGCCCTGGGTTCGATTCCTCAGCACCACATAAGCAGAAAAAAATGGAAGTGGGGCTGAGACTCAAGTGGTAGAACGCTAGCCTTGAGCTGAAGAACTGAAGGACAGCACCCAGGCCCAGAGTTCAGGCCCCAGGACCAATAAAAAAAAAAAAGTATACCAGACAAATTTCTGTTTTGGGGGATTTTTTTTTTTGGTTGGTATTAGGGTTTGAACCCTCAGGGCCTGGGCACTGTCTCTCAGCTCTTTTTTTGCTCAAGGCTAGTTAGTGCTCAACCACTCTGAGCCACAGCACCACTTCCAGTTTTCTGGTGGGTAGCGATGAGTCTCATAGGCTTTCTTACTGGGGCTGGCTTTGAACTGCCACAATCCTCAGATCTCAGCCTCCTGAGTAGCAAGGATTACAGGTTTGAGCCACTAGTTCCCATCTTGACAAATTTCTTAATGGGGTAGGAATACAGCTCACTGGCAGAGTGCTTGCCTAGAATGCCCAAGGCCCTGGGTTTAGTACTTCAACAGCAACAACAAAAACCTACAAAAATAACATTTTCCTTGGATTAGCATAAATTTTGGAAGTTTTAACAGTATAGGGGTATGTACAACAGTGAACTAATTGCTTGAGAATATATCCTAGTAACCAGATGTTTGGGTGAGTAATTCACCTATATTTCTCAAAAAAATGAGCAATTCTACTCCTAGGTCCCTACCCTGGAGAGAATGTGTACACCTGTAGACATAAGAAGTCATAACACTAAAGATATGTCTATAATGGAATAAATGTCAATAGCAAAGAAAATAAATGAACCAGAGCTCTAACAGTGTAGTCTCAACATGCATAATGAAAAAAATGAGAGAAGCTAGATGTAGAATATTATTAACAACACATTTTTGTGTGTTATTCCTGGGGCTTAAAATTAGGACCCTAGCCACTGTCCCTGAGTAAGATTACCACTGAGCCACAGGTGCACTTCCAGCTTATAGGTATTTAACTGTAGTTACAAATTTCATGGACTGTACTGCCCAGGCTGGCTTTGAACTGTGATTCTCAGATCTCAGCATCCTAAATAGTTAGTGTTACAAGCACACGCCAGTGGCACCTTGTCTAAATGATTTATAAAAGAAAAAAAAAGTATTAAATTCTAGGTACTATTTATTGACATGAATGTGACAGTAAAATGTTTAATAAATGTACCAAATTAAAGGTAGCAGTAAAAAGAAGAGAGTGGTGCACGCACACACCTGGCTACTAAGGAGGCTTCAGTGGACAATGGTTTTTATTTGAAAAAAAGGCTTGCTGTGTGGTTATCCCTGAACTCTTATTCACATGGCTCTGCCTCCCAAATTGCGGGGTTATGGCCTGAGCCACCCCTCCCCCCAAATCTATTTTTTGGGGCTAGCTCCTGATTCTCTATTGCTGAGCTATGTCCTATATTATTTAGGAAACACATGAATTTTCTTTTATATTCTTTTACCAGTCCTGGGGCTTGCACTTAGTACCTGGGCACTGTTCCTGACTTTTTGTGCTCAAAACCTTTTTGTGCTCTACCACTTGAGCCACAGCTCCACTTCCTGCTTTTTATAGAGTAGTCAATTCGAGATAAAACTCTCACGGACTTTCCTGCCCTGGCTGGCTTCAAATCATGATCCTCATATCAGCCTCCTGAGTTGCTAGGATTACAGGCATGAACCACCAGTGCCCAGCTGAATAGGATTAAAAAAAGTTATATAAAGAAGTTTCAATTCAACAAGTCAGATGATGAGTAGAATGAATTTTGAATATTGTCACCCATCATTCTCCCCCAAATGATTTTTCCCAATCCCATCCACATCTTGAAAAGTTACAATGAATAATTATGTTTTATGTATCTCTTTAATGTGTTAGATATGCAAAGATTTGATATTCAGAATTAACATTTGGCTTTCCAAATATTTTGGAACAATAGTACATAGAGTTTCTTTGTAGGATCTCCAACAAACCCTTTAATTACATTGCAAAGCAAGTTTGGTAGTTTCTTTTGAGAAGCAAAAAAACGATTCACACTCATTAGCCAAATAAATTGTGTAACTAAAGCTCTATCCCCTAAAATATAAGAGGAAAAAATCCCACATGTTTTATGACTCACTGGAACATTTACATTACAATAAAAAATGAGATAATAAGCAATAATTACATAAAGAAAACTGTTAACCAACATGATTATTTTCAGTTGATTTACCTGACTCATGATAAAGAGGTATAAAAGACAAGGGCTGGGAATGTGGTTCAGTGGTAGAATGCTTGCCTAGCATGCATGTAGCCCCAGGTTCGATTCCGCAGTACCACATAAACAAAAAAAAGCCTGACGTGGTGCTGTGGCTCAACTGGTAGAGCACTAGACAGTGCCAGGCCCCGAGTTTAAGCCCCATGACAGGCAAAACAAAAACAAAAACAAAAAAACCTGACTATAAAAACATTAGAACTGTTTTCAACAGAGACTAGAAACTTACCAATTCCCATAGTCAAAATCAAATGCAATTGTAATTTCAGTACCCTTTGGAATACTTTGTATGGAATAAATGTAAAGATGTATGGTTCCATCTTCTATTTCATGCCTCACCTGTTAAAAAAAAGCAATTTTACATTTCTATATATTTTCATAAGTCTCTAATCCTACAGTTGGGAAAAATATCAAGTACTTAGCAAACACACCCTTTGGAAATTATCATTAATGCAAGCCTTAGGATGATATATCAGCAGGTATCACCTGTTCACTGCAACACCCACCACTCCAGCCTACCATGTGGCATCCAGAAAAGAAAACCTATTTTATTAGTTTAAAGATGGATATTTCTTCACCTGCTAGCATCTCTGAAATTAGAGTATTACACATGGATAGCATCTTGAGTTTGATGCAGTGCAACAGTAACAGTGTTTGTGGCCACATTATTCAAATATCACTACACTATTATAGTTCTATATAGTACAGTCTTGCAGAAAAAACAGGCAAAGTTATAAAACCATTAAATCCCTGACAAGACTTAAGTGCCTAAGTCACTAAAAATTTATTGTGTGAATTCAAAACCTCGTACGCTTAGCTGCAACATTATATAAAGTTAAAATATTTGACATGTAAAAAGATGAATATTTTACATTCTACCCAGAATATGATTTTAAAAATTTATTTACGAAAATCTATTTTAGTTTGATAAAAATCATAGCATATAACTGGGCATTGATGGCTCATGCCTATAATCCTGGGTACTCAGGATGTTGAGATACAAAGAATTGTGGTTGTGAGGTTAGCCTAGTCAGAATAGTCAATTTTAAAATAAAGCTATCGGGCTGGGAAGGTGGCTCAGTGGTAGAGTGCTTGCCTTGCATTCATGAGGCCCTGGGTTCGATTCCTCAGCACCACATAAGCAAAAAGAAAAAAGCCGGAAGTGGCGCTGTGGCTCAAGTGGTAGAGCGCTAGCCTTGAGCTGAAGAGCTGAGGGACAGCGGCCAGGCCCAGAGTTCAGGCCCCACAACTGGACCAAAAAAAAATAAAAATAAAATAAAGCTAGCAAAAAAGCCAAGTTGGGGTGTGGTTCAAGTAAGTACTAGAGTGCCAGTTGAGAAAGCACAAGGCCCTGAGCTCAAAACCCATAAGAAGGGGGGGAAAATAGTATATATTTAATCCACAAATACAGTTTTTTTTTTTTTAAACCAGGGCTGAGAACCGAACCCACGGCCTTGCGCGCGCCAGGCGGGCGCCCTTCTGCTGGGCTAAACCCCCAACCCCCACAAATACAGTTTTAATATTAATGCTAGAAGGAACTTGATTTCTACAGTATGTTAACTAAGACATCATAGTGTCACCAAAATTTTTACAATAGGAAGATGCTGAGCAAAAAAAATGAATCAACAATTGAAAAGCAGATTGATTGTGCCAGTCCTGGGGCTTGAACTCAGGGTCTGGGTGCCATCCCTGAGTATTTTTACTCAAGACTAGTGCTCTACCACTTGAGCCACAGGTTCCCTCCCCTCTCCCCCAACATTTTAGTGAGTAATTGGAGGTAAGAGTGTTACAGACCTTCCTGCCTGGGTTGACTTCAAACTGGAATTCTCAGACATCAGCTTTCTAAACAGCTAGGATTACAGGTATGAGCCACTGGCACCAAGCTTATAAAGTGTTTTTAGGCTACCAAATTTATACTAAATGCTCAGACCCTATAACTACTCAGCACCCCAGTACCCCATTCAAAATATTTCAATAAGCGTACCTCTGCATTTGGTGAACAAGAACGTCTAATGAATCGAGCCTCATTCCCAAAAGTCCTTGCATCAACACACATTTCTAGTCCATGAAATTTAGAGTAGAATAAAACAAAAGGGTATGGTCTACAAACAAAGAAATATAATTTAGTGTAACAATCCCTTTTGTTTTTCTGAGGTAAACGTATAAAAGAAGCTTGAGAACGAGAAATTTCTTAAAAATTTAAGTAGTAAGGTGAAAATCTGATATATATATGTATACATATATTCCAGTTTCAGAAATCTTATGCTACTTCATGCTAGTGAGATTTTTTTTTTAATACCTACCTTGTGTAAGTTAAAGACAATATAAGGTAGAAATCCCTTAGAGAGCAAGAGAGTAACTCATTACCTTCACAGGAGGATAATTCTGTGCTTTCAAAGTGCATGTTCTCTGGTGCATTTAAAACTATTTGATTTATACCATTTTAGATCAAATTTCTTTTTTTTGTTCCAGTCATGGGGATGGAACTCTGGGCCTGGGTACTGTCCCTGAGCTCTTCAGCTCAAGGCTAGCACTCTGCCACTTGAGCCATAGCACCACTTCTGGTTTTCTGGTTGTTTATTGGAGATAAGAGTCTCACGGACTCCCCTGGCTTTAAACTATGATCCTTAGATCTCAGCCTCCTGAGGAGCTAGGATTAACAGGTGTGAGCCACCGACACCTGAATTTCTTATACAACAGGAAAAGAATGTATATTTTTCATAGCTTAAACTCTCAAGTTATAAACAAAGAATGCTGATAATAATTGTAGGACATGCATATATTGGCAATGTTATACCTGTAAAGACAGGGAAATATATTCCTCAGAAAAGTGATAGGTAACAAGAGGATCCTATCAGTTCTTCACAAGCCATAGAAGAGGCCTCTGAACCACTCCAACACCAAAAAGTAGGAGTTGAAAGTGGTGGCAATAATATAAGAACAAAATTAACACTGTCAAAGGTGGAAAGCTTAAAAAAAAGGAGGGAGGGTGGTGGTTGATTGCCTTGTCATGGTCTTCTCAGGTTCTAGCAATGGTAAGGAGTCAGCACTAATCCTAGATTGAAAGATCCTTGGTAGTCTTAGGTAATTAAGATTTCCTGACTGACATATGCATCCAAGCTATATTGCTTTTATCTTTAAATGGATTACATTAGGGTTTTCAGCAAGACAAAGAGGTGGGCAAGATACTGAGAAATATGTCTTTGCATTTTGTTTTTGGGATCACAGTCCAAAAGGTATTGTCACTGGTTATCACATTATACTTTTAAATATTGATCACATGGGAAAAACATGATCACAACATCTAGGTAAAATGTATTTTTAAGTTCAATATCTAGCTACAGGAAACAAAAAATTATACCTTTTAAAGAAATACCCATTTGCTTCAAATTGTTCTCGTAGCATAAACTTCCCTCTATACTCAATGATAAGAGCATCAGGAGGCAAATCTTTGGCAGATTTCAGGATTTTTTTATTCTTTTGTATATGGCTCTAAAATAAAAATAAATGGTAGATTATATTTGCTTTTCAGTCTAACTGAAGATACATTATAAAACATTTTGCTTTCAACTATTTTGACAAATGACTCATTTACCTCTACAGGAGGCTTGAAGAGTAAATTGTTAGTAGTATTCAATTCTGATTTATTCATCTCTTTTTTGTCATTTCCATTGCCTAATCTCATAGCTATTCTTTGTGCCTCCCTCTGAACTCCCTCACTATACTGGTTATTATTTGCCTCTTCATAGCGATCCATCCATGCTTTGATTTTTGTCTCCCATCCAAAATTTGAACCATCAGATGAAGGATCAATTTCTGGAGCTGAACCCTACAATAAAGGGAAAGTAAAGGTTACTATGTTAACTTAAGCACTTATACACATATATAGTCATTCATATAAAAACAATTTTTATCACTATAGTAGTCTAAGGATAGCAATAAAATTGCTAAAACTGATGTGCTCACATTTCTAGAATACATCTATTATGTGAACTATACATACTGTATAAGTAAATTTATTTGATTTATAAATTTAACATTTTATTATCAGTATAATTGTAAGATTTATTATAATCAACTATATCATGAATTTCATTATAAATGCTATTTTTAATTTATACAATATGGAACACCTTGTTTATGTGCAGACATAAATCTTAATGACAGAATCCATAAGGATCTTTATCTTATTTGACTCAAATTGACTGTCAGTTCACCATATGAATGACCAGAATGAATGACCACCAATGGGATGCTGGTGGTTCACATTTGTAATTTTGGCTAAGGAGTATGAGAAGGCCAGCCAGTGCAGAAAAGACCACATGACTACAACGTACAACTAACTTGCAAAACTCAAGGCTGAAGGGTTGGCTCATGTGGTAAGCAAACAAGCTAAGCAAATTAGTGGTGGAGCTCAAATCAAAAAATGATAAGGAACTGATCTACTTGAAGGGAATAAGCTTATGTACCAATAGATAACTTTGTATGTTCATTTCACATTACAGTAATGACTAATAAAAACAGATTTTACAGGATACTAGATTATACTAAGGCTGACCTCTATTAAGAGAATCTGTTAACTTTTTAAATTATTTTAGTAACCCTAAGAAATTTCTCTACTGAACTGGTATGTCTTTAACAGAACGGTATCTCTTGGCCCTTATACAATTTGCTAGAGAATTGCTTATTTGAGATGTAATGTTTTTTACACAAATATCTTTGAAGTTAAAATTTAAGATGTTCAAATTTTTATTTTTTAAAAAATGTTAGATCCCTAGTGAAGTCTTTAGGTAATAAAACGTACTTTCACCTATAAGTAAAAGATGCAACTTTCTCATTCAACCTGGTATTCAAGTGCTTAAATGAGAAGAAAGGGATACTATAACATTAATAGTTCCAGAGCTCCAACTTGAGCAAAAGAAAAGAAGCTTAGGGACATCACTCAGGTCCTGAGTTCAATCTCCAGGACCAGTGGGGCGGGGGGCAGAGGGAGGAGTTTTGGGCCTCTTTCCTCCGTTCATGAATTTCATGAATTCAAAGTAACAAAATCTCCAACTTTAACATATAAATAACATTTTATGAAATTTCAAACTTGTCAGTATGGTAAATGATTTTAACATTTGGTAACATATGGTAAATGATATTAACATTTTTAAGGAGAAACTAAGAATAATCAGTATGCTGCATGTTTGTTTTCTAGAAATGTGAATCAGTATTGTTTTATACTGTAGGAATAAAAAACACAATCATTACATCCTCTTTAATATTAAACTTGACAATTTAAAAAATCTGTCATCCTTCAACACAATATAGTTACCTCTGTGATCTGTTTCAGAAGTGTCAGAGGTGGAGAGCCTTGCTTATCTCAGAAATTATGCAGCTAATTAATGCAAGATACATGTACTTAGTTTATATTTACATGGTAAATCTGTTGTGGATCTTTTTTGTTGTGTTGTATTTTGGTGACATGGTTTTGCTATGTATGTAGCCCATGGTGACCTCAAACTTAAATATTTCTCCTGACTCAAACTTCCAAGTGCAGGGATTACAGATGGAGTGTATTATAGGAGCATACCACAAATTCCCTGTAAGAATTCCAGTTGTACAGAAGAGCAAATTAAGATATGATTCTGCACTTATATGTATAGTATACTAATATAAGGTGGTACTACAGAAAAGAAATTAGTGATAAAAATTCTAATTAATCTCAATATAAGAAGTATAAGATTTCCATTTTAATATGTTTTGGCCTCTCTTCTCTCACCAGTACTAGGGCTGACTCGGGCTCTCATTTGCTTGGCTTGCTGATTCACAGCTGGCACATTACCACTTGAACCATGCTTCCAACCCAGCTTTTTGATAGAGATGGAGTCTCATGGACTTTTCTGCCTAGACTGGCTTCAAACAGTGACTTTCTGGATATCACTCTTTTGAGTACCTAGGATTACACGTGTAATCCATCGGCATTCAGCTCCCTTAATGTTTTAACAAGGTTGATAAATAAGAATTGTCTATTGGTCCAAGTAGAATCCTAACTTCTCATTTCTTATAAGGATAATAACAACGAAGAGAACATAAAGTAGCCATGTGTTTCTGAATATAAGTGATTATCAACAATAATGCCTTAAATGTATTCATTTACCTTAACTCTTGATGACTTCCTAGATCCTTCACGAAAGGCCTAAAATAAGCATGGAATTATGAGTTAGTGTTGTTGTTGTTGTTGTTTTAATGGAAATAATTGACAATTATTTGGTTCACAGTGGCTCTTTACTGAAGTGAAATCATATAAAAGAAAATTGGTAATAACCAATCAAGCAAAAAGTAGGGAAAGGTTGTGGTAAATGAAGGTATCTACTAGAAAATTATTCTTTTGCAAATATAATGCAGACTGTTTGGAATATCAAGTATTATATGTAAAATATGATGCTAAGTAAAAAACTTCCAATGTTCTAAGTGCTCAATTTATAACCAACTATTGCATATATATAAACTATGTACTGTACAAAAACTTTGTACCCTATCCAATCATGTATTTTACAAAAGGCTAAACTTTTAAAAAAAATACTAGACTTTTTAAGTTTTCAATGCAAAGAAATGATGTTTGACATAGGTATGTTCAACATGATCCAAACATAAAACTTACACATATATCAAAGTAATACATGAGACATAATATATACAACTTTTGTTCTCATGTAAAAAATATAAACCACAGAAAAATTGAGAACTGGAAAAGTATTAGAAAAAAGTATTAGAAAAAAGTGGAGAGATGTGGGGTTCTGGGGTATTATTACATTTGAACTTCTAACTGGGCTTAAGTAATAAACACTGAAGGAAACAGCTGTATTTATTCAATTAAATATTTATAGAGACCCCATTAACATGCCAGATCCTGAAAGAGTTAAGACCAAATTCCTACCCCACTTATTACACCCAAAAGTATCAACTATATTTAGAGACTAAACGTAAACCTGGAGATAACAGAATACATTGAAACATATTTAAGTGCCAAATTGGTGTGCAGATATGTTAGAAGGTAATAAAGCTTTAAAAAGGGGCAATGAACTTTTATGTAAAACATAGGAAACAAGCTAGGTAGAATTCAGAGAATACATACAATCAAACTTTTGAAAAAGTGAAAGAGTATGAATAACCATGTAAGGAAGAAAGAAATAGGAAGAAATTATGCCAACTTAAAAAATATGCTACTTTTACTTACTGAAAAGTGTGATACGGTTTTTTTAAAAAGACTTCATTAGTCTGACTTAAATATTGCATTGATCTTTATTATGAAGAACTAATAGAAGGAAAAGAAAGGATATGAAAATAATATTGATAGGAAATCTGATAACCAAATGCAGAGTAGATAAAAGGAAAAGATGAGAAAAGACTGTATTTCTACAAAGTGGGGCTAGACCAGTTTTGTAGCAGCAAAAAAGAGGAAGAAGTATGAAATTTCAAAGGAAAATCAGTTGAGACAAACTCTGGATATCAAAGACTAAAGATGCCTTAAAGATTTTAGAAAATGTATAATGCTGGTACAGAGACACACATATATATAAAAGAGAGTAAAAGGATGGTCAAGAAAAGATATGAGTCTTGCGTAAACTAGAAACAAAGCAAAATTATATAAGCTGATTCCTTATCGAAAATGTGTGAGTCCAGATGTTTTCCAGACTAACTGGATTTTTTTAAAGGTTTGCTTTAGAATATTTGCATAAACTGTACCTTGAAATTCAGGGTCCCTATCCTGGATAATCCAAAATCTGAAAGCTTTTGAATACCATTTCTGGAATATTTCAGACTTTCCGAATGGGGATATTCAACCCATAATAGGAGCATAAATATATATGCTGATAATAACATTATGAACTTAAACAACCAGAAATCAATGTCCTTTAATATTTCATTGTCTTAATGTTAATACTTCATGTCAATTATTGCTAAAGTAGCTATAATAAAGGATTTTATGAATATTATAATACAGCCATCTGTCTAGAATATTAATGGCTAACATGCACATTTTCAACAATTAGCTGTAAGTTTAGGCTGAATAAAAAGCAAAAGTATAGTATTTCACTATAAACAAAAAAGCAAAGTAGGTAGGTATTGTCTAAGCTTGGTTTCTGGATTTTACCGCCCCTCCTCTAAATTCTCTGAAGTATTAATAATGTCTGACAAAGTCTATTTTCTTTTAAGTACACAACAATATTCTGAAATAATTATGACACAATCAAGACCCAGGGTTTATTCATTTTGAATACCCACAAGTCATTCCAGCCAGAGAAAATGAACAAACTGTTTTATTAAACCAAATGATGTAAAACAGAAATATACAAGATTCAAGTTTCCAAGTAACTTTTATACAATAATTAATTTCAAAACATACACAAAAAGGCAAATCAGTACCTGTACTAACCTGTAAAAAGCACATAACAATTTGTGTAAATTACAATCAAAGATGAGGAAGATAATAAAGCAATATGTGATTAGCTGCTGGAATAAAAGCTCAAGTGCCATGACAGAATGCAAAGAAAGATCCAAAGGAGAAGAGCAAATTTCTCTGAAGAAATAGTATTTGAGATGTTTTTATATAGTAGTTTAAAAGATAAAAGGAGAAGAGAATCCTTCAAATGGAGAAAGAAATAGCATAAGCAAATATGGCTAGAAAGGAAAGGTAAAACTTGGTAACAATGAATTGTCCAGATTGGATAAAACTTAAGTAGAAGAGTAACAAAAAAGGATATAGAGATACAAGTGAGGATCACTAGATAGCCAAGCTGATTTTAAATAGGGAGACGAAATTAGAAAATGGAAAATGCATTTTGAAGTACATGTATTGTCTACTAAATATCAAGTTTATTTTGAAATCCTGATTTTTATATCTAGGTATAACTTCACTATAATAGCAATATAATCCTTGTGAAGTTTTTTAAATTGTATATAACAAAAAACATTCACTGGCAAATATACTCACACATTGCTTGACAGGGATACATTCTGACAAATGTGTTATTAAACTATTTTGTCCTTATTGCAAACATCATAGAATATACACACATAGACTATATGATAAAGCCTACTGATCTGCCACCTAGGCAGTTAGATCCTAATGGTATTTGTGTGTCTCAACAAATCTAAACATGGGAAGGACAGAGTAGAAATACTGTGATAGAAAATACTATGATTCCTTATAATCTTATTGTATGTTGCTGAAAAATTTCAAACAATTATAATGACAAGTTACTAACAGTTTGCTGGCAAAGGATTCTAGAGAAATTTAACAAATTTAGGTGAAAAGAACTCTGGTAAGCAATTCAGTAACTGGGAAGTCTTATGCAAATGATGAAATACTGCAGCTACAAGCAATTACATCCTTTATCTACTAGTAAGTTATTAAAATTTTAGAACTATTTTTCTTTCATAAAACACCAGCTTGTTCAATTTTAGTTTAGGTTTTACATTCTATCACTAGACTCATTAGAATGATGGTTTCAAAGGAATTTGTAGTTTCTTCATTCTATTTCAACTATTATCACACATTAAAATTTTTAAATTTATTTAAATTTTTATTGACTTGTTAGATCATTCCAGTTCTTTAGTTGGTATCGATTAACTGTCACTGTCTTGCCTTATAAAAATTCAGCTCATCTGTCTTATCTACTCAACTAATAAAAAGCAAAAACGTACTTTTTTACATTTTGAAAAGTTTTGTTCTTTTTCCCCACTTTTTTTCCTTCTTTTGTCATTAACCTTGGAGACTCTTGAAGCGGTTAAAGTAATTGAAGTTGGAGTATGCTGAAATGCAGTATATAATTCCACAGGAACTTCATCACCACTCTCAGTTGCACTAGTATCACCATCTTCAATATAAAACAAAATTATACATTTACTACTTCCTTTTCAAACAATAAAGTGAAACAGCATTTCCCATGGCCAAGTATTGTTATCTATTATTTCTAAAAAATAAACATTTTTTTCCACTTAGTTTACTCAGAATAAGACATTTAAATGCAAAAGTCATTTCTTATACATTAAAGTACAAAAGTATCCAAGTTTAACTAATACTGTGGGAGAGTGACTATGAGAAATAACTAGCTAGCACTTGCCAGGTGAACTTAAAATTCCCTAAGGAGGATTTAGTCATTCTTAGCAAAATTATACATACACCCTCTGAATAGTCATCCCAATTTGTAAGAATTTTGATAAACATAAAATAGCAAGGTCACTAAAACCTTATGCAACAGGATTTCATTCAGAAATACTTTTGAAACAACAAAATGTCCAAAAAGTAAGGATTTAAAAAACACTTGGGTTTTAAGCCAAAGTAAAAATGTCACACAGAATTTAGAAAATGCTGTCCCTAAAAAAAAAAAAATCTTATGTACAATAAACTAATGGATTACTATCTTTCTGAAGAGTGTATTTAAGTTGTTTAGAACAGTAAGTTGCTGGGTTGAGAAGGTGGCTCAGTGGTAGATTTCTTGCCTTGCATGCATGAGGCCCTGGGTTCGATTCCTCAGCACCACATAAGCAAAAAGAAAAAAAGCCAAAAGTGGTGCCGTGAGTCAAGTGGTAGAGCGCTAGCCTTGATCTGAAGAGCTGAGGGACAGCACCATGACTGAACCCCCCCCCCCAAAAAAAAAGAACAGTAAGTTGCTGACAGGCACTGTTGGCAGTAAAATCTTAGCTACTTAACAGGCCAAGATATGAGTGCTGAAGTTAGAAGCTAACGTGGCTAGAAAAGTCTGCTTATATGCAATTAACTAGCAAAAAAGCTGGAAGTATGGTCTGGGAAGGTGGCTCAGTGGTAAAGCGCTTGCCTTGCATGCCTGAGGCTCTGGGTTCGATTCCTCAGCACCACATAAGCAAAAAGACAAAAGCCGGAAGTGGTGGTGTGGCTCAAGTGGTAGAGTGCTAGCCTTGAGCTGAAGAGCTGAGGGACAGCGCCCATGCCCAGAGTTCAGGCCCCACGACCGGACCCAAAAAAAAGCTGGAAGTAGAGGTATGGCTCAAGTGGTAAAGTGCCAGCTTTGAGTAAAAAGCCAACTGAGTGTGAGGCACTCAGTTAAAGCCTGAATATTGGCATAAATAAATAGTAAGCTAGCTAAGTGTAGGAAAATTATGGATGACTTTTTTCTCCTGGATTGCAAGAATAATATGAAATAGTATTTTTATACTATTACCCATGGAACAGAATTTGTAAAATCTATACCTGAAATGACAAATTATACCCTCAAGCTTCATCAATAAGGTTAGCTCTTAAAAATATGAACTTACTTCCTCAGACTAATTTTAATTTGGTATAGGTCTTTTTCACTTACCTGACATATTTTCCCTTTTCCGGCGTTGTAGTAGCACCGCCCTCTCTTTATCCAAACTCCTACGTTAAAATAGTAACATGTTATTTATCAAACCTAGATGAACCAGATATTTTCAATCTGATGAACTTTCTCATTTATTTAATCAATAACATAATGTATATGCAGAGTCTCTTGAGTTATAGTTTAGGCATGATATAACAATATAGGAGTGGATGCCAGTTAAGTGATACCATTTGTTACTGTTTTGGAAATAGTTTTTGCCTAGGAAATGAGTACATTATTTTCAAATTCAATATTTAAAACGAATTTGGGAAAAGATATTGACAATGAGTTAAAATAGCAGATTTCTTAAGTAAATAAGATATGAATGAGTCCTCAAAATATTTTGACTGTTTTTTGAGACACAGTCTTGCTATTTAGCCAAGGCTGTCCTTGTGAAGTAAAATATTCCATTAACCTCCCATAGCCTCTATCCATATGCTGTATCATCCATATTCTATTACATTTCTTCTCAGCTTTTTCCTTACATATGTACTCATTCCTCCAGACCAAGAAATACAGATTATTAAATGAGGAAATAAGGCCTCCAAAGTAACACCTTTACAACTCAGTGACAAACATGCTTGGGAGGCTAGTAGGCCATAACAATTATCCAACGATCAGAGATCATACGAGTTATCACAGAATGAAGAGCAGATCTCTCTCAACTACATTTCTAATTATTAGGTCAATTTAAACCAACCTTTACTTAAGTCGCTTGAAAAAAGTAACTTTCATAAAGTAAAACCAAAAGCAGAAAAATCTCAAATAGAAATTTAAGATTAATTTAAACCATTTCCCAATTAAGTTGGCAAAACAAGTCTGCCAAACACTGTATTGTGAAGGTGGGGAAAATAAACAGGCTTCATCAATCTTTTATAAATAACAGACATTTAAAATTGGAATTCAAAATTGTACAGCTCCTACTAAAAAGGAATTGGGAAATAACAAAATTTTACATATACAAGTACTCATTTAAAAAAATCACTTCTATTTGCAATAACAAGATAACACAATGTTCACCCAAAAAGGTCTGGCTGAATAAATCATAACCATTTGAAAATACCTTAAAGTTATAGAAAAATTAATAATTTCTCTATCCTGCTATGAAGTCATCTTCAGCATACATTTAAAGAAAAAAATGTAGCAAGAACTATATACAAAATGTTTCTGCTGAAAAGGTCAGATAATGTGATGTCAGGAAAATGAACCCTTAGATATGTATTTTAATGTTTTTTCTTTCATGCATGTGTTTCTAACGCATTTATAAGATTATCTCTTTGTTGCTTTGTATGTCCCTCCCCCACAGTATAATCCCTGCTTTCACTATATTTGATGTCAGTATAACTTGTGGAGGAGATGGGGAAAAACCAGTTGTTTAAGGATACAGGTGGATCTGATGCAACAATGAGAAGTACAAGTTGTCATGTCCAAAACGAGCTTTACAACGTCGGTGGGGGGGGGGGGGAAGGAGAAGGATTGGGATGGGGGGAGGGGGGAGGCTGGGAAGGGATGGGAAGAGGGGGCTGCAATGCTTGGTAAGAAATGTACGCATTATCCTGCCCATGCAATTGTAACCCCTCTGTACAGTATGTTCACAAATAAAATAAAATAAAATTTTAAAAAAAAAAAGAAGAGGCAGAAAAAAAAATGTTTCTGCTTACCTAAGGAGGATAAAACATAGGGCATGTATTTGCATATAATAAACCAAGCAACAGGAGGAAACAAAAAAATTTTTTTGGAGGGGGAGAGGAGAGGTCAGTCGTGGGGCTTGAACTCAGGCCTGGGCGCTGTACCACCTAAGCCACAGCGCCACTTCCGGTTTTCTAGTAGTTAACTGGAGGTAAGAGTCTTTCCTCCAGGGCTTGCTTTGAACCGTGTTCCTCAGATCTCAGCCTCCTGAGTAGCTAGGATTACAGGCATGAGCCAAACGTACCCAGTGGAAAAACAATTTTTTAAATGTTACTTCCAGAGTAAAAGGAAAATGGAAGGTATACTTATTCAGATATACCTTGTTCACTACTACTTACATAATTATAAAGTATATAATTATAAAAGTACTGGGGATTGAACTTAAGGCCTTGCAATGCTCAACATTTGAGAAAAGCTCTAATCCATTTTAGCTTTTCAGATACAAACTCTTGCTACCTTTGCCCAGGTAGGTCTAGAATCTTGATGTTCCTAAATCTGCATCCCTTATGACTGGTACACATCACCAAAACCAGCTCCAGCAATTCTTTAAAAACTGGATTACTCATATGTTTTTGGTAAGAATGTAAAACGGCATATCTATTTTGGAAAAAAGGTTGACAACTCTCATAAGACTGAGCTATCACACTTTGGATAATGAATCCCAGAAGACCAAAAAAACATTTACAAGAATGTTCATAGCACCTTCCTTTGTAGTAGCTAAAAAAAAAGAAACAAACCAAATATCCTTCCACAGATAAGTAGCTTAAAAAGCCATGGTACATGTGACACTATTCAGCCAAGAACAAAACAGACATCCAACAAATTGTAAGGCACCCAGGGAATATGATAAGTAAAAATGCCAGTCCTAGTAGTTTACTTACTGGATCATATACTACATGATTCTATTTATGTAATGGTTTTAAAATGACAAAATTATATGAGTACCAAAGTGTAGTAAGTACCAAAAATCAGAGAAAAGAGGTGAGAGGGAAATAAAAAAGGCAGCATGACCTAAAATCTGTCTCATTGCCACTTTCACTACTTTAAGTCTTATTAAAAAAGGCATTTGTATTTTATTTTGTAAAGTGTGACTTTTTTTGAACAATACTGTGTTCATACAATTGGACAATTTTCAGCTGATGGAATGAATAAAATGCACACTTTTACTTTAAAAGGCAGCATGAGGGTGTTATTGCATTTATGGAAATGTTCTATACCTTAACTTCTTGACTGTACCAATATGGAAAACTTAATATTATATTAAAAGTTTCATAAGGGGAAGCCAAGGTAGACAAAATCTCTACATTATTATGCAGCTGTATGTGAAACTATATAAAGCTTAACCTAGAAAAATAAAATTAATTTCAACACCATAAGCATATATCCAGTTTGTGTAATAACCACATAGTGAAATCTCTCAAGGAACTTTTAAGTACAATTAATTGATTCTATATACTATGGACTGTCTCTCAAGGGGAAGAAAGTCCTAAACTGCTTTATCTATCATATTAATGTTGGAGAGGTGGGTGGTAGTATTCTGAGATTACTGTATCTCAGATTAAGCAAACTAGTAATTTTGAGAAATTGTAATTGCATCACTCGTCTTGATGAGAACTTGAATAAAATGTAGATCCAATGTTAAAAATGTACAGATGCAATGCCCGGCCCCAGTGGCTCACACCTGGATTCCTAGCTACTCAGGAGGCTGAGATCTGAGGATCAAGGTTAAAAGCCAGCCTGGGCAGGAAAAGTCCATGAGACTTTTTTAAATTTTTTCTTGGGTCCAGTCATGGGGCCTGAACTCTGGGCCTGGGTGCTGCCCTCAGTTCTTCAGCTCAAGGCTAGTGCTCTACCACTTGAGCCACAGTGCCACTTCCTGCTTTTTTTCTTTTTGCTTATGTTGTGCTGAGGATTCGAACCCAGGGCCTCATGCATGCAAGACAAGCGCTCTACAACTGAGCCACCTTCCCAGCCTCATGAAATTCTTATCTCCAATAATCCACTCAGAAAACTGTAGTGGTACTATTGCTCCAGTGGTAGAGCGCCAGCTTTGAGCTGAAGAGCTGAGGGACAACGCCCAGGCCCAGACTGACCAAAAAATAATAATAATAAAAATATACAGATGCAAAGTAAAAACTTTAATTCCTTAATCTGAAATGCAATTCAGCTATAAACTCAGATATTTTATATTTAAAAGTAATCAGACAAAAATGTAACTTTTAGTAATTATTCAAACAGGTAGATAGACCTTGAATTCATTATGCTTCTTTTTTGAGGGGGTGGTGGGGGTCAGCTGCAGGGCTTGAACTCCGGGCCTGGGTACTGTCCCTGAGCTTTTTCCACTCCAGGCTAGTGCTCTTCCACTTTGAGCCACAGCACCACTTCTGGTTTTCTGGTGGTTAATTGGAGATAAGAGTCTCACAGACTTTTCTGCCCAGGCTGGTTTTGCACCATGATCCTCAGATCTCGTCCTCCTGAGTAACTAGGATTATATGCATGAGCCACCAGCGCCTGACTGCTTTTATACTTTTAGATATGTTATAAACTTCCATGTACCCTAGCTACCCAGGAAGCAGAGACTGGGAGGATTATGGTTTGAAACCAGCCAGAACAAAATGTAAGACCTGATTTCAACCACAAAAATGCTGGGAGCAGTGGTGCATGCCTGTGATCTCAGCTACGTGGGAAAGATAAATAGAAAAATCTACCCTAAACAAAGAAACTGAGACCCTATTTGAAAAATAACAAAAATAAATGGGCTAAAGGTGTGACTCAAGTGGTGTAGTGCCTGCCTAGCTAACACAAGGCCCTCAGTTTAAACCACAGTACCACATAAAAAAAAAAGGTTTTAAACAAAAAATTGAGGTAATAAAAAACTTCATATACTGTAAGAGGAATGACAGACATACTAAATTCTGTATATAGGGGAGAGTTTTAATAACTTTAACATGGATGGTGTGTTTCAACGAAAAAAAATGATGCCCCAACACTTAGAAAATGCACTTTTAATGGATTACTAATAAAATCCCTAACAAAGTAAGTCATGACACACTGTTAATGAAAAGTTCTTTCTGATTTCACAGATGTCAGAATACAACAATACTAAAAAAAAGAAAATGTAAATGTTAATTACATCTAGAATCATAAATCTCTGTTCATTTTTCCAGTAAAATCACTAGCAATCTTATCAGCTATGGTCAACTTACCTAGGCTGACAACGTTCACATAGGTATGTATCAGGAATATGCTGCCTGTCAATCCCCATGCAGTCAATATGTTGCCAAACGCTTGAAAAGCAAAAAACAACAGAACACATAAAACATTAAAACCATCCTTAAATTAAAAATTGGCACTCCATTTAATTATTGCTTAATAAGCTCCTACTTTGAGCTTAGCACTCGAAAATGTGCTATAACATAGGTCCTTAGGAAGATACAATTTTTAGATATACAAACAAGAGGGCAAATATAAAATAAACCTCTAAAACAAAGATCTTAAATGTAAAAGGTAAAGGTGGTATTATTAGAAACCAGAATATATCCATATACATGGAGTTTATGGGAAAAACACTCTGGAGAATAATGGACATAAACAGAACCTCATTTTGTGAAACAGGAGGAAAAGGTTACCATTTCAGGATTTTTCAATTCACAGATATCAGAAGGTGGCCAATGTATACGAAAAGGACTGTTCATTTTGTGAAATCAGGAAGGATAAAGCTGGTTGCTTTCTCTGTGAACATTTGACAATTTTGGAGGCATACAGAATTAAATGAAAACCACTAAGAAAAGCAATGGAAAGACTTATGAGGCTTTTTCTACATTTCAGAGTTTAAAAAGGACAGAACTATAAAAATGGCAGTCATTGAATACAAGAGGCATTCCATGGGAACCAAATTAAACCTAATTACTTTTTTTTTGGTGCCAGTCCTGGGTCTTAAACTCAGGGCCTGTGTACTGTCCCTGAGCTTTTGTATTCAAGGCTAGCACTCTACAACTTGAGCCACAGCTCCTCTTCCAAGTCTTTTTTGGTGGTTAATTGGAGAGAAGAGTTTCACAGACTTTCCTGTCTGGTCTGGTTCAAACCCCAATTCTCAGATCTCAGCCTCATGAGTAGTTTAGGGATTATAGGCATGAGCTACTGGCACCTGGCTAAACCTAATTACTTTTAATGGAACACATGGAAACTTCCGAATTTGTAATTATTACTTTTTCAAGGGGAGGGGAAGGGCAGTACCAGGGTTTCAACTCCAGGCCTCAAATTTCCTTGGCTTATTGTTGAGCTGGTGTTCTACCACTTGAGCCATACCTCCAACCCGGCTTTGTTCTGGTTATTTTGGAGATGGAGTCTTGAAGACTTTTCTTGATTGGTTGCAATCCTCCAGATCTTAGCCTTCTGAGTAGCTAGGATTACATGTGTGAACCACCGGTGCCCAGCTCCTTATTTTTGCATTTTATTGCCCAAATGTCAACTGTCTAAAATTGATACATATGCTTGTTTCCAAAAGTGTTAGCTATTCCTTACATAACTAACCACTTCTAATATAATACTACTAAGGTGCAAATATGCTGTTCTTCACTTCTCAATTGAGAATGCTGGGACAAGAACTCAGAGGATGTGGAAGTATGTAATAGAAAAAACATTTTAAAGTGCAAAAATAAAAAAAGACAGAGAAAACAACACGTATTAGAATAATGTGCAATGTAAGGGGAAATAATGTCATGCAGACAATAGGAGAAAAAATAGAAAATAAATGATCAATTTATAGATGTCGCTATTGGAGGAGTATGCGCAGTAGGAAGATTGAAAAAATATAAAGAGGCAAGGTAAATTAAGGAAGAAGAAAGATTGAACAACAGAAATATAGAAGAAGGCAATAGACATTGAGAAAATGCTAACAGGAATAGTCACTGAGAAGCAAATACCTTGAATAATTCCAAGACTACAAATGTTCCTTTAAATCAGAATGGATATAATCATATGGATCTAAAAAATTCCTAAAGACAATTTCACCATTCTCTAATAGAGACAACTATATATTATATATAAATTCTTATAACTGGATCAAAAGAAAAACATTCCTTATGATTATGCATTTAGTTAAAACATTTGCCAAATGGTACATAATTAATCACATTTGATCAGTTAAAAGAAAGCTCTTATATTTAGACAATTGGCTATAATAAGAAATGACCATTTCTAATGTAAGAAAAATAATGTCACTGAAGTTCTCTTTTAGGTTTCAATTTTACCTCCTGAATACATTTGGAGGTAATTACTCATTGTCATGATATATATCACAGGTATTAAGAATTTATTTTTAAACTTGAACAGTACCACAGTAGATTTATTTTTATACTTACATTCAAATATAGAAGGATATAAGCCTTACTACTTCAGATGAATTGATGGGCTATGCTATGCCATAAGGACTAGACCCAGGAAATTACGCAAAGCCACCAGACATTTTTGCCTGTGTGCTGCTTACTTATTCTCATCTCCCCCCCCTTGGCAAGGGCTTGACTCAGTAACTTTTAAGGTTGAAAACCTAGTGCTCCCTCTCCTCCCCACCCCTCCACACAATAAACAGATGAAAAGAGAAAAGGAAAGACGGAGAGAGGAGGAGAGAGAGAGGGAGAGAGAGAGAGAGAAAGAACCCCACTTTCTGTCCCAATCACACCTTCTCTAGGGGAGGAGGCCTTTCTTGGTGGTTGAACCAGGGTTGGGGGAGGGGAGACTGTGGTTCTGGTTCTAGAAGACTCCAGAGTGCTGCAAGGTTCAAGTCAAAAGGAGGTAAGAAAGTCAGGTCAAACAAACATCAATCAAATGTTTACTTCCCCCAAACTGGAAAATCACAGTTGATTACACCACACAAATAATGCTAAAAGAAATAAAAGGACTCAATTTTATATATTTTCTATTACTACATATATATATGTGTGTGTGTTTATATATATATATATATATACATATACATACATACTTGTATTACTGCTGAACTAAATGCAAAGAGGGATGATTGCACATATAGTTCGGTACTATTACTCACTTCACACTGCAGAGTTCTGATAAACTCTTAGATAGCTTTTTTTAATCAGGTGTTTTTTAAGAACCAGATTACATCAATAGAAGTCCCACTTAAAAAGTAATTAATTCCTTTAAAAATGATGCTATCTTTTTTAAATTATCAAGATTAGAAGCATTAAAAAAATTAATGGTGCAAAATATTTTACCTGCATTTGTCACAACAGATCATGTATCCATCATCATGTGTAAAACCACATATGCACCTTGTCACATCAGTACCATAACTTCCATCCTCAGATGTGCTGATTGTAGTAGCACTGGAAGTTTCATCAAAATTAGGAGTGGTAAATATGCCTACTTCATTTTTGCTAATAAGAACTGATGGAGGAGGGGAAGCTGGAGGTGTTGGAGGAGGACGAGCACCATAGTTATGGTCCTGGATAATGGAACACAAAAACAGTACTATGTTAATTTCTGACATTACCTAAGCATTTTAATAAAATGCACCCTTAATCTCAATATTTAAAACATGATACTAGCCTATTTCTTCTTTAACATCTTTAAAATAATGACTTGACAAAACCATATTATTAAACCAGTGTTAAGTGAAAAAATAATTACCAATAAGATAGAGGTGGTCAATGTCAATTCTCCCTTCCCTCCAAATCAGAAACTACCTTTACAGTCTTTACTTAAAAGGTTCACTTTCAAGATTAAATAGGAGGCAAAGTGCTGGTAACTCATTCCTGTAGTCCTAGCTACTTAGGAGGCTGAGATCTGAGGATCTCAGTTCAAAGCCAGCCCAGGCAGAGAAGTCCATGAAACTGTCATCTCCAATTAATTGCGGGAGTTGGGCGGAGGGGGAAGGAGGCAGGGAGCAAGCCAGAAGTGGAACTCTGGCTCAAGTGGTAGAGGACTAGCTTTGAGCAAAAAAGCTAAGAGACAGCTCCCAAACCACCAGTTCAAGCCCCAGTATTGGCACCAAAAAATAAAAAAAGATGATACAGGAGCATGATGTGAAAATAAAAGGTAAAAAACAAAATAAAAATACTCAAGAATATAGTCTAAAAGTTAATAAAAACAACAGAGGATATCATTGTAGGCTATATAATATGAAATCTTTTCTTTAAAATTAATTTAGACAAGCTTTCATATTCTCAGCTATGAAATGGATGAAAATTATGAAGTTGTTTTCAAAGATTAAATGAGATACAATATGTGAAGACACTTAAAGCCTGGCATATAGTTAAACACTTAATAAAGAACTATATACTTACTATACATTACTACATAACTTAAAATTAAAGTAGACAGAACATCCAGTCTTTTTATTGAGGACAAAAAATAGTATAACATCAGTTAGGCGCCAGTGGCTCATGCCTGCTTGTAATCCTAGCTACTCAGATGGCTGAGATCTGAGGATCACAGTTTAAAACCAACTCAGCAAAATCTGTGACTCTTATATCCACTACACCGACAAAAAAGTTGGTAGTAGAGCTGTGGCTCAAGTGGCAGAGCGCTAGCCTTGAGCAAAAGAAGGGGACAGCACCCACGCTCTGAGTTCCAGCCCTATGACCAGCACCCTCCCCCCCCAAATTAAATAAATTGCAAAACAAACCTCTGGAGAATGTCTCTTGTAGAATTGTAATCCTTTAACAATATGGTTATTTAAACTATAAATTATATGCCCAACTGTTAAGATATGAAATAATTGTGCTTTTTAAATATCCAGTTTTAAGCACAATTCCACACATACTTTATTTAAACCGCTAACCTTAAAAAAAAAAATCCTTCCAGAGAAATGTTTGACACTTACCGCATAGGGCAAACCAATGTAACTGTGTGAATGATGTGAGCTGCTGGTATATAATTGGTGGGGATAACTGTTGGATTTCTCAACTACCACAGGGCTAGCTTCTACGGATTCTGGTCTGGGGAGGAAAAAGTTCCATCAATGAGAATTCCATTTTAATCATCAGTTATTGCTTTTTAAAATAAATTTTAAATTATTAAGTACTTATATTAATACATTAACAATAAAAATATGATGTGCATTTATTATAGTAGATTGTGGACAATGAATATCTTATCTGGATTCTGTATCATAAAAAACTTTTTGTTTAATAAGTAAATTGTCTTATTCCTATTCCAAGTTCAAATGTAATTTTCCAGTAGACAAATGAAGAAAAGAGGGGAAGAATACAGTCAAAATACAAAGCATATCCTACAAAATTTCTGAGGGAAGGGCTGGGCTGGGAGGGATGGGTGAGAATATTCAAAGGAGTGTCATCAATCACAATGCATATAAATTGCTTTGCTGAATGGCAAAACCTGTATACAGCTACTTAAAGATAATAAAAGCATTTTAATATAATTTTCCTAGAGACTAACCTTTATATATTATACCCAGTGATATAGGGTACAAATTTCTAACAAATTCTGAATAGTCTGAAAACTAATACTCACCTAATGTCTATGCTGTGAAATGTTTCTTAGTTTTGAAATTAATACATACTCACATATAAAATTTAAACACAAGAATACATAAGAAAGCAAAAGATCATCCAACACCAAAACATTCCCACATCAATGCCAGGTTATCCTACTCTAAATTTTATTTGTATGCAAAAAATACACCTTCACAATATTTTTAAACCCTGACTATATACTACAATGTATATAAACATCTATCATTTTTGAATGTTTACATGTAACATATTCTTAGTAGTAATTTATTTCATTTTGTAAATATACTTTAACTTATTTAACAATTTTCCTAGATCACAATCCAAAGCCACACCAAGCAATAAAGTTCATGAGACACATCTCCAATAAACCACCAAAAGTCAGAAGTAGAGCCATGACTCAAGTGGAACAGCACCAGGCTTGAGCAAAAGGGAGCACACAGGCCCTGAGTTCAAGCCCCAGTAGCAGCACAAACAAGTATCACTAGGGGCTTGCCTGTATTTGTGAGGACCGAATTCAACCCAGCAGAATTTTAAAAGGAAGGGGGGAAAAAATCAATCTTTTAAAATTCTTTAAAAATTACATGGGAAGAAGCAGTTTTAGCAATCTACAGTGATATTTTTAGAGCAACACTTATGAATCATGGTCAAAGTAGAAAGATTTATCATGGATTTTCATCGAACTATGTTACTAAAGAGTATGGGCATAACTTTGATATTCCAGAGTAGCTAATGGTTAGGAGTAAAATCAAATTTTCAGTGCAATATAGGTAAGTTCAAGCATATATGCTTAATGATAATGTCTCTCTCTCTACATATACATATATAGATAAGATTGATACACTTCTAAAATTTCCTGGTTCAAATTTAAGATGCAATACTGATAAATGGGCTATGCATAAAAATAGGAATATCTATTAAGATCCTCATGCCTAATGCTTGTATTTATTAAAAGTAATTTTGAAAAGTAAGTTAACTGTAAGCACCAGTAGCTCATGCCGTAATCCTAGCTACTTAGGAGGTTGAGATCTTTGGATTGTAGTTTGGAGCCAGCTTCGGCAGGAAAGTCAAAGATACGCTTATTTCTAATTAACTACCAAGAAGCTGAAAGTGGAGATGTCACTCAAGTGGCAGAGCACTAATCTTGAGCAAAAATGTTATAAGACAGCTCCCTGGTCTTGAGTTCAAGCCCCAGTACAGGCACAAAAAAACAAATCTTAACAATTGTTTTTAAAAATTGGCTAACATATTTATATTTTAAGAATTTTCTTAAAAGGCTAAGACGAGGATAACAAGCTCAAAATGGCATTTAAAACCAGAAAAAAAGGGGCTGGGAAGGCGACTCAGTGGTATCGTGCTTGCCTTGCATGCATGAGGCCCTGGGTTTGATTCCTCAGCACCACATAAGCAGAAATAGCCAGAAGTGGCTCAAGTGGTAGAGTACTCGCCTTGAGCTGAAGAGCTCAGGGACAGCACCCAGGCTGTCACAACTGATTTAAAAAAAAAACACCAAAACTAAAAATCAGCTATTTAAAGAGAAGAGGGGCTGAAATTGATTTGAGCAACTCCCACTATTTATAGTGGACTTAATTAAGCCAGGGAAAGAGAAAAGGAAAGGAGGGATAGAGGGAGGGGAGAAAGAGAAAGACGGAGGGAAGGAGAGAGGGAGGCAGGGAGCAGGCAGGCAGGCACAGGTCAGCCAGTTTAATGTGCTAGTACAAATAACCTTTCTATATTTACATCAAATGCTGAGAAATCTAAATAGAGTAAGACTACTTTGACAATACAGACAAGTATAGTGATGTTCTGTAGACTAACAATGAATATAACTTTGAAATATGCTACCCTAGAATAATAAAAGCGGGCAGGAAATTTGTTGTAAGTGTATGTGATTGCAATTTAATAGATAAACTAAAGGTGAAAAAATGGGATAACGTGGGCCAAAGCAAAGAGCAAAGACTTTGAAAATACATGAAATGGATTAGATCCAGAAGATAATGGGGTCCACATAATAAAAGTGATGTTTTTCCACTTTAGGAGAGAAAAACAGCATTTGAATACAAGATTTTAGATACTGAAGATATGTCCCTAAACACATGATTTATAACAAGCCCTCAACAGATATTACTTAATGACTGATTTGAAATGTCTATAGTTGCTACATTAAACAAAGCCATATCACTGAAATAGTATTATATAGGTTGAGGCATCCCTAATCCAAAATTTTAAAATGCTTAAAAATCTAAACAATTTGAGTGTTCTATCAGTGCTCTAAATCCAGGATTTAAAGCATGGTTGTTGGATTAGGGATGCTCAGTTGGAAGTCTGTGAAAATATCCCCTTTAGCCCCTGCAAAATATGAAATCTATAACACTTCTTGTCGCAAGCATTTTGGATAAGAGCTACTCAACTGTACTTACTCAAGCCGATGATATCAAAGAAAAACAGAACTGATTTTTTTTAAAAAAACTTTTTTTGTCAGTCGTGGAGCTTGAACTCAGGGACTGGGCACTGTCCCTGAGCTCTTTATCTCAAGGCTAGTGCTCTGAGCCACAGCACCACTTACGGAAGTGGTAAATAATTGGCAGTTAATTGGAGATAAGAATCTCATAGACTTCCCTGACCAGGCTGGCTTTGAACTGTGCTCTTCAGATCTCAGTCTCCTGAGTAGCTAGGATTACAGGTATGAGCTACCAGCTCAGAACTGATTAGCTCAAAACTGGCTTAGAACTGATTATTGAGGGGGGAAAAACATACTTTATCAGTATTCACTTTCTCTAAACAAGCAGCTCGCTGAGCTGAATCCAGGTGCTGCCTGAATCTGTAAATGAAGTTACTGGAACAAAGTCGTGCTCATTTACATACTGTCTTTTTTCTAGTTACTTCAGAAGATCTGGGTAGTTACGACAGAAACCCAAGTCTTAAATGCTTTCCGGTCCTTTACTGAAAAATTTTGCTGACCCCTAAATGTGATTTTAAATGCCAAAACAAACAGGGAAATAGACACTTATTTTCTATAACAAACATACCTTTTATAATCAGAAACTAAATTTTTAAAAAGAAAATGCATGGGAGAAGAAACTGAGAAAATTATAAAATATCCAGAATTAAATGTTGCATCGACCTAAGTTACAATTTTTAAACTTTACCTTATTAAATACTCAATTCCACGCAACTTGCCTACTACAGTTAATTAAACAGAAAACACTTTTTCTTTTTCTTAACAGCAAAGTGGTTAGTAAGGCCTCAAAATCCTCAGGAGTGTCTATGGAGGAATTGGTGGGATTAGGGGTAAAAATGCTCTGAGCGCCTCACTTTCATGTAATGAAAGCTGTTCTTTCAGTTTTACACATTTTGTTTCTGCAGACGTATTTGAAAAGCACAGCGAGAAAATGCCTAAAATGATTAAAAAAAAAATAAACCAAGAGCATCACACTGCTGTGAAACTTTATAATTTATGGCTTTAATGAGCTGATTTAACTTTTATTATTTAACTTTTATTAATCCTTCATATCCTATCTGTGACATGATATTTGGGTCACAACATAAAATTAAACATAAAGTACTTGCCTTGCACAGAAGTGTTCAACAAATTATAATGCATTACTTCTTCCTTTACTAAGTTGAACACTATGATATTACTACTGGCATCTGATCAATTTTCATCTCTTAAAATGGCATTTACAAAGCTTAAATTACGACAGCAATGTTGCAGAAAAGAATTATCATAGAATAGGAAGACTTGCTTGCAAGGTTGTCTCTGTCTTCTTTTCTTTTGCCATTTTTTTGGAATTTGGCTACTAAACACTTACACTAAGAAATTTTCCCCAAAGGTAATGGTTACAACTATCTGAATGGACAATATGATTTATGTTGAATGAAACAGGTAAATGGTACTCAAATGCTAGCCTCAATAAAGGCCTTAAGCACCAAATCTCTAAAGAGCACTCTAGGTAGACAGTATTTCATGTTTTTCACAATTCTTTAATAAAGAAAACAGGTGGCTTGTACGCAACTCCATGAGAAACCCTGTACCTCTTCTCTTGTGCTGACTTGGTTTTGTATTTTTTGCTGAAGTAAATCTAAGCCATAACTCTAAGGACAACTATAGACTGAGTTCCACACAAATCATCAACTGTGGGGTGGTCTTGGAGACAAATTGCACTTCAACTTTTCAAAATAACTATTTTTGTAGCAATTTACACATAGCCCAAGTTGATATGAGAATGTATTATACAAAATCAGAGGGCAAAGTCAATTTTGAACATTTTTACACATTATCATCATGTGATACCTTCAAGGCTTAAATCCTGAAAGTCTATTTCCTCCTACAGTAAATGTCCCAAACTGCCAATGTGATAGTTTCTTTTGAATAGACACAAGCTTTCAAGAATGTAATCTTGTAACATACAGCAGAAGCTTAAAAAGTAACTTGTACTTGTTGGACCTAGTAATCCCATATCATA